ATATGGCAGCAACAAGAGGGTCAATATATGATTGGCTGTAGGTTATGAAATTGGTACCCAAAACTAATAAATGTTAGAAGAGGTGTACATATGACACCAGTTTTGTGAAGCAGAGAGTTAGGCTGTTTTGAAGAAGGGTTGAATTTCAGCAGCTTTCATTACAAAGTTATCTTTTGATCATGAACTTTGCTGTCCAGTGACTGAAAAATTAAACCTGGAAAACTCCATGAGTTAAGCCTAAAGAAATATGTACCACCAGTGGAGAGCAATGCTAATGTTTAACTAGCTGAAATAGCTGTTTGCTTAGTGGAGAATGTTAGGTATCTGACAGAAGGGACATCTCTCTTATTAGTAATCAAATAGGGCTGACCAGTTGTTGCCATCACTCTGGGATTGTGTCAGGCAATTGAGAACAAGTTCAACACTTTATAGAACTGGAAGTACAAAAATCAATATAATTATATTTGTCTTTAGTGTTTTAGCTATGGAAATCATACAGCCGTGGATTGTGGCTTTTTGAGCTGAATGTATTTCTTTTTTATTGGCTAAAAATATTTGGAATCATAGGAATCTTTGTTGAATAGTAAATGAAAGATAGCATGTTATAGTTTTTATTATTGGATCATTGGCATGTTTCATCATTCAGAGCTTTCAAGCTATGTGTGACATGTTTGCAAATGTAAATGTTGAATTGCATTAAAGTGCAAAGCCTTAGAACACTATAAAAATTAACTAGAAATGAAAATGAGAATAATATTTTTCTGTTATGTGCTCAGTCAGACTTTAATGTAGACATGTGGACAAAGAGATCATTTCTTGACTATTGAACTTAAACTGAAAAAAATTACAAGTGCTATGTTTGAATAATGCATACTTACAATGAAGTATGACATAACATTTTTGCAACAATTAAGGATTATAGTAACATATATGTGAATAACAATAATCAATTAAAATTATATCAATTCTGTTCGGGATGGTCATAAGGAAACTGAAATATACTTTACCATATCAGTGCTTTTATAGCGCCTCAAACATTTCAAACTGCGTTATAATTTGATATTCTAGAAGCATAAAAGGATTTTAAAAAATCAGAAAAACATTTTGTTAATGGGCTTACCATGTTTATTTGAATAAGGAAGACTGAAACTCCATTTACGCCTAGCGTAAATGCTTTAGAGATCTTAATTATTGATGAAAATTTTCTGTGCTTCTAAATTTAAAGATATGACAGTCTTACAGGAGTTTTAATCACCTTCTGTATAAACAATTTTAAAGTTTTTATATTATGAGAAAAAGAATGTATATTTTAGCTTTCTTAAGAGAGTGGTCGCTTATAATGACGAAATACTATCAGCATTTTGTTGCATACAGTATATGCCTCAGAAGGCATTTTGGCACAAAACCCCTTCTATCTGATGGTGTAAAATTGAAAAAAAATGTTGTGTTTAGGGTTCACTATGAGCAAAGTGCAGCAATTCTATAAAAGGAAAATAAATTTGTGAAGATGTTTTGTAAGATTAAAAGTCATTTGAATCAATCAAAATGCATTTAAAATTCTTAATTATAATTTATGTTTGATCCATGTGTTAATAGTTTGTCACCTAAATTTGTTGGTGTTGAATTTCTGGTTTGCATTTTCTCTTGAGTGTCCCAGAACAAAATATGCCCATCAAATTTGTGGGTCAATTTACAGTTTCCCATAAGAAGTGTTATCACTTGGTTAGTTGGCTTAAAAAAGAATTATATACAATATACTTCACTAGATCCTTTTGGCCTTTAGTAGGTTTTGACCAGATAAGGAATATTTGTCCTGAGGATATGAACCAATAATTCAATACTGAATTGAGATCTATGGCCACATGTAGCCCAAACTAAGACTCTTTGCGATAATGTGAAAAACAATTCAGATTAGGAGAAATGAAAAAAAACCCCTTAAATATTTCAGATGTAGGAATTTACTACAGATTGCTATATATTAAATCAATTAATGAAATTACACAGTTGCATCTTGTAGCAGACCTTCATGTAAAAACAAAATAGAAGGCCTTAAATACAATTTTGCATGTTGCATATCATTTCAACCTCTTAAGTCACTAAAAATTTTCTATTCACAGTAAATTGATTTTCCTCACGCAGCATTACTAAGGAAGATAGTTTTTATTACTATATGAGTATAATGTACTACAGCATATTAGTATTATTTATACAACAAAATAATTTATGTAGTAAAAAAACCCACCAACAATTGTAAAGTGTGGTCAGTAAAGAGATGCCACAGAAAAAGTGTCCATGGGAAATTAGATTGACCCAAAGAAAACCAAATAAAAGAAAGGAAAAGGCCCATATTTTCTTTGTGGTGTTGCTGAAAAGGATGGGAGTATCATTTTCATAGTGGAATAATGTTTTCTGGGAAAACACAAAAGCAGATGTTCCTCATTAGGAACACCCATTGTCTACATATCACAACTATGAACAGATAAATCTATCCTATTTCACC